CTTAGTTTAATCTTTTTAACCCTGCTAGAAAAAGCACTTTTGCCTCACGTATATCTAAATTTGTACTCGAGGTTATCTTATAGGTTTCTGCCTACTCCTAATGTGGGACAAGGGCGTGAGCTTGTTACATGTACGTACCACACTCGTCTTTGACAGCGAACTGCAGTCGTCAAACGAAACTAGGCGGGCAAGCGAAGGCGGCTTGTCGACCTAGTGTAAAAGCGCCATCAGATGTCACATGTGTTTTCACCTCTCTATCATCATCAACCCGTTTATACGTCCCGCTGCTGGGCACGCTTAGGCCATAGTCCGCCAAGCTGACGCAATGCGTATTGGGAACTTCACACATACTCCGAGGAATGTGAACCTTCTTCGACATACTAGTTTCATCACGAGTTTTTCTTCAATGAAAAGCTCATGGTAAATTTCAAATTGAACTTTTGAATTTAAAAAAGTTTTCATCCATAGCATTTAAGTTTATTTGAAAAGAGCAATCCCTTGAGTTTCTTCTCATTCTTCTTACTTATGAATAAATTAAATAAATAATTCTTTGACTTTGAAAAAAAAAGCTATATAGCCTCATCCCAAAGAACAGCATATCCAGCATTAAAATATATCTATATAGGTAGCTTGACATATATAGTACATTAATTAAAAAAAACTACTTTACATAATACACATTCACATACTAGACACGGTTTTATTCAAGCTTAATCAGATCTACCAAGCCCTTATAAACGCCGCGTCTATGCGCGTACGCATCTCGACATCTCGATCTTAACCCGAATCAGAGCATTGACCTATCCCACATGTGAGATGTGTGGTGTTTGTTTCCGTCATTCCCACACTGGGGTTATACTCGTATTATATTATAAATAACGTACCTGGTAAGGGAACTAATTAGTGGTACTTAAGTTATTTTTAAAAAGAACTTATAGTTGACGAGTCCCATGTGCCCGTAATTTCACCAGCACTCTGTGACGATGCGACCTCCTTCCATGGTCATTCCATCTTTTTATCACCTTTTCTCTGGTTCCTGGCCAATTCCGTTGCCCGTCATTCTGATTTTCTTTCGTGCCGTCGTCACTCTCTGCTCAATCGCTACAGCGAGTGGTGCAGCTCGTCTAATTTTGATCCTTTTACCAGTTCCCAAACTAAACCATGTGCCAATTTTAATACCAATCTAACCTAGTAATATTTTATAAGTCACTCTTTCGGGGTAAGCCTGTCTCGCGTTTTTAGTACTTAAGTGGGGAGTGTTTTGTAGCATAGTACCTATTTTTATACCCTTTCCTTGTTACAGCCTTCCCTTTTTCTTTCGACTTTACTTATGAAATAAATTATGTGGACCGGAGTATTCTATTCTATTGTCGTGATCCTGGTCACGGCACATTAGCGGTTTACAACCTCTTCAACCCTTACTCTTCAAAACCGGAACGCAGTAATGCTCACATACTGCTTGGTGGCAGAAATAGGTAAGGCAATACTTCCCTGAACGAACCCTTTCACAACTCAATTGCTACAAAAACGTCATTTAAATAGCGTTCAAATTTGCAGTTCAGTAAATAAGAATCAATGTGAAATAAGCTCAGCTGGCAGGAAAGATCGTGGTGATCCAGAGCACTTATGTCTTTGCCGCAAGGACACCGATGATGGGAGCAAACTGGGACACCAATGCAGAGGCCTGCAGCTATGCGAATGGTCTCGGCGCTCAGGAAGGTACCGGTACTGGCAGAGGGGAAAGCGTGTAAAAAAATATGTAAAATTGTATAATCTATTTAGTCCAAAAAAATATCAACTATTTCGTATGTAGAGTCTTTAAACTCTATCCTGATATCTCTATTCTGAAAAGTTGTCATTTTACAGATGCGGCCTTCGTACACCAAAAATGAGAATTACATAATATTACGAATAAACATGTGTAACTGATAATATATGAACATAGAACAGGAAATGTAATAATATTTTATATTGCATTATTACCTGATAAGAAACTGATGTGTACAGTTACCATATAGTAACAAGTAGTTCGATTTGAGTTAGTAGGAACAGGTTTAGTAGCTGTAGAACTCTTTGTGAAAGAGTTCGTCCAGGAAAGTACTGCCACCTTAACTATTTCTGTCGCCAAGCAATAATGTGAGCATTACTGCGTTCCAGTTTGAAAGGGTAAGGGCGCTGGTGCAATTACAGGCTTATGGAACTTACCAACTTATGTCTCAGGGTGTCGGGCGCAGTGGCAATGCGTTAGGGACTTTTACGATTTAAAGCTCTGAGTGGCAATGAAACTGTTTGCGTGTCGCTTACCACCAGACAAGACTTATTTGCTCCGTTACTTGCTATATTATAAAAAATATATAAGCGAGTACTTTTTTTTCGCTCTTTATGTATTTAGGAGCTTCGATAATTATTGAACATATCAGCCCCATTATAAAACGATATATCAAGAAAACAACGTATACAAAATCTTCACGGCACTTCATGTTGGCTCCGACAAAACGGGTTGAAACCACCCAACAGTAAATGTACAGAATCTATCAGGGTATGATTATTTGCACAGGTGCAAATAATCATACCCTGATAGATTCCGTCCGAACGCACTCCACGAGCAAATTATATACATCCTCAGGAATTCAGGAGTTCACACTCCACATTAAATACAAAAATTTATTTCAAGTCAATGTCTACTACGATTCATCCCCTAGGTTGCCACCTTCAGAGGTAGAATATTTTAATCAAATTGAAATGGGACCAATACTGAGGTACCCTCTTTCCAATAAAAAAGAATCATCGAAATCGGTTCACGAATAAACCGGAGTAATCGTGTAACACACATACAAAAAAAACGCAATCGAATTGAGAACCTCCTCCTCGTGTGAAGTCGGTTAAAAAGCAACACGAAAATTTATTTCGAAGTATAAGAAACCGTAGACAAATTTGCCATGAATAAAAATCTCAGATAAACAAACTCGTGTTATGAAAGAAGTGGTACAGAGGAACACCGACATTTTCTTGAGTTTCCGGTTAAAATGACACTGCCGGATGACCATAGACAACCGCCCGTACTCTAGACGATAGTAATAGATGTCAAAACATTTTCCCACATCTTTCAAATTTCCTGTTTAAAAGTTAAAACTCTAGAAATCTAGGAATTTAACACAAAATTAAAATCATTGTACATTTAACGTACTTTCCCGTTTTAATAATTTAAATTTACCAAACCATATTGAACAATATAACGATAAAACACATTCATGCAAACATGGCATTCGTGTTTGAATTTTATAGTTCATACATCGTATTTGAATCAGACGATTGGCGAAAATCAAATGCAAGCCGCTTCAACATCCGTGCTACCATCTCAGCTAACCAACAACACTTTAGGTTCTATGTGTTTGTACCAATATTACTAATAAAGAGCATTATAATAATAATAGTACAAAAACTTAGTAATTATAATGTTTCTCACTCTGAGACGTAAGTTGACAAGTCCCATGTGACTGTAATTATGTATACTTGCATAAAATTCTTCATGGCGACATTGACTCTTCTTACCTTTTATGTAAAATAAATATCTGCACAAGCGTAATACCGAATACCAAGCAAGGCATTTTACTTGCAAACGTATAGAATAACACTTTTATATTCTCTTGATGTGATAAAAGTGTATCAGCTTTACAAAGAGATATCATAAAAATGTGTCAGCTTACAAAGAGATATCTATAAAAAACTCCGGTTTGGATATTTTTGACTCAAGATCCAGCACTTGTACCAGTACAAGTGCTGGATCTTGTACTTACCCATGTCGCTTTTGTTTTTAATAAATAAGTATATTAATTAAGTAAGTAAAATTATCAGCAAATTATGAACAGGAAGTAGATCTTTCTTGTTACTTTACACTGATGTGTCAACATAAGTAGGATTGCTATCTGGTACAGACCTTTGTAATATCATTTTTAACTTTTACCAATGTAATTTGATTGTTATCTATTTTGTTGTCCGTATAATAAATAAATAAATTTCACCAGCACCCCTATCCTTCCAAATCGGAACACAGTAATGTGAGCATTAGTTACAAATAGGTAAGGTAACAGTAGTTCTCTGGACGAATTCTTTCACAAGGGGCTCTATTGCTCATGAATTTAAAATTTGCCAAATGTAAAGAGAAATTTTAAATAACGATAGTGAGTTGAAACTTATCATGGCTCCGTACCTTGATTTATGAGCGGCGGGTGTGTCAACCTCGGCAATACTTTTTTTACGTGGTTTTGTTAGAGAGGTTATGTCGTACCCCTACCGCCAAACCCCAAAAAAAAAAGTTTGCGTCTCTGCGCCTTTTGCCGGATTTACGGGAACGCTTTATCTCAAAACCCCGACAGCGGGTGTTGCGTCCATCGCCCTCGCAACATCTCTTTATCTCCCGTACTTATGATAAGCACGGTATTTGTTTAGCACAGGTGTCTTGAAATTAGAATGGAAATAGAAATCAAATTTCATCCAATGTAAGCTTCAATCTTTTACTGTGTCTTTATAAATAAACTCACAAACGACATGCATTTGTGATATTAAAATCAGTTCTACGCTATTTATTTCACTACCTATCAATATTATTGCATTCTTAACTAAATAACTAGTTAGTTAAGCATGCTTTACAGCATACCCAACTGCGTAGTTGGCAATTTAACGATGCACTCTTTGTTCAACCTCTTTGTTGCACCTTACATAGTTGACTAATCTAACCAAGTGAAGATGAAAACGTTGGTTACAAATCTATACTAAACAACTTAGAAACAAATGTTTATTATTATATATATATGTGTAATGTAATGTATAATAATGTGTAAACAATTATTCCAAATGATTTTATAATTTGCATTGCATTGTGCAACAATCGTCAGTAGAAAAGTATTAATTAATAATTAATATTAATTTTAATTATAATTAATATATGTATTATAAAATCATTTGGACTCAATCAAACGTACAGATTTGTATATACTCACCAGTTAATACAAAATCACAATACAACTTCTTGCTCACAAAAACCACTCGAATTTAATTTAAAAAATCATTACAAAACTTGGAATGTAGAGCCGAATGCACGTCACACACTATAGGAACGGGAAAATCAAACATGCGCCCGGACGACGCAAGCTATGAACGGGCACTGACAATGCGCGCTCGCACAGCTGATTTCTGCAGGAATCTAAAGATTTTCGACCTTATTACAGTTCAATTGAGTTTTCATTGTTAATTACTTACTCAATCACACCATAACAGCGTTGCCAACTTAGCGACTTAGTCCTTTTTAAACGACATTTTATTTCTATTTTGTGACAAAAGAATTTAATTACGTTACCTCTTTACTAGAACTGTTTGATTCTCTTTTTTAACGTTTAATATTATAATTTGATCTTAGCGATTTTTTGAACGCGCTACTCAATAGTGATTTCCTGAATTCTGGGATATTGGTCTGTTGTCTATGCTATGACCATAATGTTCTTATATAGATTTTAAGGTTTTCATGGTTATTCACTAAACGATTATTACTAATTACAGTTTTCTTACCACGGTATCAGTTATTTTTCTTTTCCAGATATTTCGGAACGGTTACACGCTCCATGGTCACGAGTTTACTCATATCGAGAAATATCGAAACCAAAAAACTCATACCGTGGTAAGAAACTTGTGATTGGTGATAATGGCACAATGTTCTTGCCAATGAAATGAACCTGAAAGATTCAAATGATTATAATAAAAGTGGATTTTTCATATAAAGTGGAGATACTGTTTTAGCAGTAACAATTAAACCTTTACCTTTCTAGCGATATTTGCTTTAGTTTAATTGGCAACATAACTGTACCGTAGTTAAACTAAAACGCAAAGTTCTAAGGTGAAGACGAAATTGAGATGAGTCACTGATATAGTTTTGTTAGTTTTGAAGTTAGTTTAGCAGTAATAGAGGTCCTTGTGAAAGAGTTCGTCCAGGGAAGTACTGCCACCTTACCTATTTCTGCTGCCAAGCAGTAATGTGACCATTATCTGCGTTCCTGTGTTGAATTGTAAGAATGCTGGTGAAATTAC